GACAGCGGACTTTCCCTTTGGTCTTCTTGTGTCTATTAGCACCTTGACCACCCACCTCACCCAGCCTACCCTCTTATCTCCCCTTCCCCATCGAATACCCTCTCTTCTCCCCCACCTTTCCTTCAGGGGCTTAGTCTTCCTGTTAGACTTCAGTGGCTCTTTGCATGTACTATACCTGTACCTAAAATGAATTTCAAAGAGGCTGTGAGACTGAATGTACTTAAAATCCTGCTTAAATAACAAAGTACCACTGCCCCCCCCCCCCAAGCACCCGCCAGATGTTACGTGGTGCGAGAAATTCAACCACTCATCAATTAGAATCGAATAGTTATGTCACCACAACCACTCTCAATTAGAAGGACAATTCACGGTGAGTCGTTTTAGTTAGACTCAGTCACTATGGGTATGGAGGCAACAATCATCCACAAACTCCTTAACTGAAGGAGCTTGATAGCTGCTTCGAATGGCCATGGGATTGAATGGAGCTACTGAGGTCTTTCCCGACATTATGTGACTTATCTCTGAAGTTTAACACCCCACTACCTGCATGTGTTGCTTGTAAGCCAGGGTTGCCAATTGCTCCTCCTAAAAACAGGACAACCTCTCCGTAAAAAAGGGACATGTAAGGGGGAAAAAAGGACAACTACCAGCACAAGTTTGTGGAATTAATCAAAAAGAGAAATCATATGTTATTTTTGGTTGCATAGGTCTTACAGTCAGCCGCAGGTCCAGAAAACTGTGAGGGCAAACTTTTTCGGAGTGAGAGTTTTGAATTCTTGGAACAATCTGCCAGAAAGTGTTGTGGTGGCCCCGAGTGTGAGCTCCTTCTAGACCAGACTTGACCAACACTGGAGCAGGTTCAAATACATTCAGGAGACAGGGCATGCCCAGTACTTGCCAACAGTGAGTAATAGAGACGTGATCTATGTCAGGGCTGAAACGAGCAGGATGGTTGCTGCCGCTCGTTTGCTTGTTCGCGTCCCCCACTTGGGGGTAGATGGAGGTGAGAACGTGACTGCTGCCTCGACACACAGATCAGACGAGTGGGCTGTTTCCCCAGACCTTCACAAATCGACTGTCAACCTCCGGACACCTACCCCAGCTACTACCTCGGCTGCCACGTCATCGCCACTTCCTCCACACCTCCGTACACCTGGCATTTCTCCTGTGTAGCAAGACATCGCCCGCTGGCGCCAAGTGAGGAAGCTGACTTGACCTTCCCCCTGAGAGCGGATCACTGCTTTCCAGAACCTTCCACAGGGCCACCGCGGTACGAAATATCTGTTCATTGTTTGACTTCAATTGTTTAACTTCAATTGTTTGCTCCAAATGTATCAAAATGAACTGCATGAAATAGTGCTAATGTTCTACAAAGTCGTTACTATTTCGGCCACAATTCTTGCAATGTCATGTTCTGTGGAGCGGTCGTTCAGTGGCTTACGGTGGCTAAAGGCTTACATAAAGAGTGCCATGGGTCAAAAGCGACTTAATAGCATTGGGATAATTAACAATGAGCGTGCTTACACAAATCGAGTAATTAAATCAGAAACGCACAGTATTATTGTCATCTTTGGCAGACGTAAAGGCAGGGACAAATTCTTTTTCTAAGACTGTCCAAAATGCTCATCCCTTGATTAAGGGACAGTTCCATAGACACCTTGTTCACATTCCATTCACAACAATGAGTGTTTTGAATTTCTTTTCATGACAGTGAGTAACCAACAGAGTTGTAAAGTAATGAAATAAATTTATTTGAGTACTGTACTCAAGTAACATTTCTGGGTATCAACTTTTTAAAAAGTAATAAAATTTTTTAGTACTTTTACTTTTACTTAAGTAAGGTTTTCTAATACTTTTACTGCAATACCTGTACAATTAAAAAAAAAACATTACTCGTTACATGCCCCAAACAAACACACAAAGAGTTTCAATTAATTTATTATTAAGCATAGTAAAAGAGTTGTGTGGGTGGAGGGTATGGTGTGGGTGGAGGTGTGAAGGGTATGGTGTGGGTGTGGGGAGACACCACACGGTCACATACCTAGAGGTCTCGTGAGGTGAGGTGACGTCAGGTCAGGTGGTAGTGGCCATGACAGCGGACTTTTCCTTTGATCTTCTGGTGTCCATTAGCACCTTGACCACCTATCTCACCAAGCCTATCCTCTTATCCCCCCTTCCCCCATCAAATCCCTTCTCTTCTCCCCCACCTTTCTGTTAACCATCAGTTGCTCTTTGCATATTCCTGTACCTAAAATGAATTTCAAAAAGGCTGTGATTGTAAAATGCTTGACATATGCGTGAGACTGGTTGTATTTAAAATTCTGCTTAAATAAATAAGTGCCACTGACCCCACCCTCACCATTACCTGCCAGATGTTATGTGGTGCGAAAAATTCAGCCACGCATCAATTAGAATTGAAGAGAGACGTCACCACAGACACACTCCCAATAAGAGGGACAGTTCACGGGAGTCTTAGCCAGACTCAGTCACTGTGGAGGCAACAATCATTCACAAACTCCTCAAGTGAAGGAGCTTGATAGCTACTGTACTACTTGGCATGCCCAGGGGATGGAATAGAGCTACTGAGGTCTTTCCCGACTTTATGTGACTTATCTCTGAAGCTTAACACCCCACTACCTGCATCTGCTGCTTGTGAGTGTCTATTTAATCATGCTGGGCTTATTATTTATTAATTAATTTATTACAACCCAGGGGGCAACAAGCCTAGTCACAAGACCATGTGGTCAGACACTAATATATTGATACATTACTCGTGTCTTGCAGGACACGCTATGACTTATGGTATGGAGACAATATTGATATGATTTAAGGACAATGGGAGTTAGCACCCACCAAAGCATGGATAGAGTACATGAATTAAATCTAAATTATTACAAATAAGTTGGTGGTGACATATAGTGGTTAGTGACTCCCTGTGGTAGGAGGTCCCTGACAGTGGGACAGTCAAGGCAATAGTGTTGAAGGGTGTTAACATTGGGACAGTTACAGAGTTTACAGGAAGAGAAGTGTGGGTCATCCCCCGCCTCAGATACTTGCCAGATAGGTCTGTATCCTAACCTCATGCGAGCAGAGACAACATTATGTCTGGGGACCATAAGTCCACGTCGACGATACTTGTGTGGATAAGGAAGAAAGTGATCATAGTGTTGGATGGATATATTTTCAGTCCATTCACTATCCCTGAGATGGATTGTAGGGAGAAGAGTGGCTGAACATATTCTCTTTTGGTAGGTCATGCTGCCTGCTGGGCTTACATTTAGGCCTAAAAGATCCTGATTGGACAGCCATAATTTCGATAATCAGTTATTGATTAATCTTAATAGAAATTTTTTATTTATACTTGAGTACATTGACATTTGGATACTTTTACTTCTACTTGAGTAACAATTTACCAATGTAATAATACTTTTACTTAAGTAACAAAGTTCATTACTTTTTACAACTTTGGTAACCAAAATATGTGGCACTTTTTTTTTTTCATTCAAAATATGTGGAAAATGCCAAGACTAAATTCTGGTATTATTCCTTGTAGCTACTGTACACTGCAGACACTGAGGGAGCACTTCCATTACTTGACATTCTGTGATTTTAGTTCATTGCAGAACAACTTAATATAATATTACCAGCTAAGAAAGGGAAGTAGGAGGCACCAATCAGTTCCAGTTATTATGCTCAGTTGGCACCCCAAAGGGAACACTCCTACAGTTAGTTCTAGAGAAAGAGAGAAAAATAAATCCTTAAGCTCCCCACAAACACACAGTCCTAAGGTATTGACCCAGTAACTGTTGACTGAAATAACAACTACAGAATTCAAGTTCCCTTTGAAGGATGGACTCAATAAAGGATTATCTACTGGAAGCCCAACTAAGGTCCCACCAACCATTAGGGACAAATCAGTCTGTACTTTACTCCCACATTTGTGAATCATCACTCAAACTGAACACCACTTGTTCATCTAATTTAAGTTCCTGAATTCACACTACTGTACAGTGAAACCTCCATATCATACACTTCTCTCTCCATATATCTGTGAGATAAGCGTTTCACATTTAACGAACTCTCGATATAACGGACTTTCATCTCTATATAATCATTAGATGGAGGCTACACATCTAATGGACCTTCGATTTTATATACCCTGTACTTACATCAGTATGCAGATCATTAGATGGAGGCTTCACATCGAACAAACCCTCGATATAATGGACTTTCCTCTCCATGTAGTCCATTAAATAGAGGTTTTACCTAAGTCAAACTTACAAACAAAATCCATAAGTTAAACTAAATTATATTATCCTCCAATCAGAAAAACAAATTTCATAACAAACATCACGTTACAAATGATTGTCAACCAACACCTCCTTGTGACTCTATGGGTGTGTACTGAATCAATGATAAATTGCAAAGTATGCCTGTAAGATCTCTCCTCAGAGGGTGCATTATAGTACTTGGTGAACTGAGCCTGGGAGCAACAGTGGGAAAATACCACTACAATACTAGTCACTTAAGAAATGACTTAATTGCTCCCACTGAATGATTCAATTCCAGATTGCCAGCTTTCAAATTCCTTAAAGGATCCAATTATGTTCAACCACTGAAAATAAAGGAGCATATTATTGCAGATTTTATGACTCCAGATATGGGATGAACAAAGTAAGCTTCCTGATATTCCAAGACAGACAAGTCCCACTCAAGGAACTGAAATACTGTATACAAGTACAGCTCCTCCCCGACCTACGACCTACTCGACTTACGACCACCCGCACTTACGACCTGCCTCAGTCGTACCAAAATTTGGTCAAATTACGTATTTTCGAGTCCCAAAGTCAGTACACAGACAAAATTTTTGTTTGTAATTCACTTTAAATGGCTGGCAACCTTAAAATGAGTGTTTTGTGGTGCTGAGAAGAAAAAGAGACACATATTTTAGATTTTCTATGTATTATTTAAGCATTTCCGACTTAAGACCATTTCGACTTACGACCAGAATTTGGGTCTTAACCCGGTCGTAAGTCGGGGAGGAGCTGTACTGCACTGTACCCCTATTTGTTTCAGGCCAAATCCCAGATTTAGCATACAATTATCTGATGAAATATAAGCTGTTTTACTTGCTAAGAAAATATATGACAAGTGCCTTGGGGTATTGGTCCCACAACCAACTTGTTCACTAAAATGCAACTTGGGTCGTTAAGCATATTAAATACTCATACGTACACTGAAATATATAACTTCTGTGTGTATATAAAACTAACATCTAGAACTAGATGACAACATTACACACTGGGTACTGTACTGCTTAAAATCACACTTAACAGGTGCTGAGCAAAGCCACTTTGGGTGACATACAACTGGATCTAAATCTTCTCTCTTCACAGTGTACCTTCAGGCCAGTGGTACCCTTATGGAATCTGGTATGAAGGTGAAGGATTATCTAATTTCTATATCTTATTCCTGTATTTTACTAGATCTCACTCAGGGGTCGGTTATTTAATCCCCTCAACTTTCTGATTAAATAGATTTACCTGTACTCAATCCTAATGTACAATTATAACAATACATTACCATCAGGTTATATTAAATGTACAGTCACCCACCAAAGTCCTGTTATCTCTTCTGCTGTTCCATGAACCCTGAGACTCAGACTCATGAACCCGAAGCAGTAGACACTGATGCATTATTCTATCCACAAATACTTTGGAGGAGAAGCGACAGGACTTTTGTGGGTGACTGTACACACACTCCAAAAAGAATCTTTATGGATGGGTTTGATAAATTTAAAATGAACCCTGTAACTCCTGTTGTATTGGTAGGATTGTCAAAATCCTTCATTCGTTGTGTCATATTGTCTCACACAAAATCATAATGATACATTTTGGAGCGTATGTACATACAACTGGTAAAAGAATAACCATGCAAAATTCTTGAGAAGTGGATGCAAGATGACAGAACATGCAAGTTATAAATGTTAATGATAAAGTACAAAACCTAAATCCATACACATAAAAAGATTTTGCTACAACAGACATATTAACAATCGCAAGCAGTATAAAAGAGGTGGTATAGTAAATGTGGCAACCTTTGGCAGTACCTCATTCCCAACTATTCTTGTGTCCCTCGAATACAGCCGCACCTCCCAAGCTGATGGTGCTCTAGGGTCCACTATGTCCACCAGAGATTCAAGACGAGAAAATTGTGACGGTGGGAACTGGTACGCTAAAGTGAGGTGCAAGGCTTTAGTAGCTGCCTCACCTGTGGTACCTGTTTAGAAAAATAAAAAAAAAATTGTGAAAAATACAATGTTATTTCATTAATGCTTTCTCATGTATAACTTTAAGCCTGAAATTGCAAGTAAAAAAAAAGTACAGTATATAATACAACACTTTTAAAAGTGCTTACACAGTGGTATGCTTTCATGCATCACTGTTTACAGGGTAGTCATCAGTTAGTGTTCCAGGTCACTGTGGGTTTAAGAAACAACAGCCCCACAAAATTTACCATTTTTAGACATATCCAAATGGAGGCTTAAGTCAGTTAATTTTTGGCTATCAGAACAAAGAACCTTTCTTAACAAAACTGCCTGTTGAATTTTTCCTTGTTACCTTTTCTTTTTCAAGAGTGTGAACATAATATTGTACTGCATTCAATAATTGTGGGGTTAAAGTTTTATGAGGCAGTAGAAGCACAATGATAAGAAGTGAGGAGATTTTTAATTTCCTTCACTCATTCTCATACACTCACTGGAGAGCTGATGACAGTGTGCACAGGCAGTAAGTGTTATGCATAAAAGTGTGGTAAAATGTTTTATATACTGTATGTACAGTCAGCCAAAGATGCACCGACCCCACCCTGGGTCTTGTGCTCGCAATTTTACCTGACTATACTTGGTAAAGGAAGGCTGTATGTAAAGGTGATTGTATCACTGTCAGGACAATTATTAAACAAACCAAAGGTAGAATTATTATAATAATAAACTATTCATTGTTATTTAAGGTCATGACAAGTTTCCAAATGTTCATATATTTGCTTAAATAATGAAGAAAATTATATTTATGAATTGGCAACTGAACTACAACCACAGCTTCCACAAGATTCTCACATCAAATTTTTTTCATCATTTAAGCAAATATACGAACATTTGGAAACTTGTCATGACCTTAAATAACAATGAATAGCTTATTATTATAAAAATTCTACCTTTGGTTTGTTTAATAATTGTCCTGACAGTGATACAATCACCTTTACATACAGCCTTCCTTTACCAAGTATAGTCAGGTAAAATTGCCAGCACAAGACCCAGGGTGGGGTCGGTGCATCTTTGGCTGACTGTACATGTGTTAATTTTGAACTTATTTATATCAGCATGTTATTAAAAGAAATGTAATTTATGGTGATAAGTAAATACAGTACTGTATGTAAATAATGTGACTACAACAGCATGCAGGAGAAAATATTCATCTGGGCAAGTTAGGGAGCAATGCGAAGGTGGTTGCTAAGCAGGTTACTTCTCTTAAAAATTAACTATTCACATTCTAGATAAGCATTTGTGAAAATGTTCTTTCATGTTATAATATATCTGCATGCAGTTTTTTGACTGAACAAAATGAGATGACTTGCAAAATACATTTTCATGTCTTTTACTGAACTGTAATTCTTTCCTATCATCTTCTTTTAAGGTCATTCATCCTAACATTACAGTAGTGACCTGGACTAACCTGTCCTCAACTACTGCAGCTTTCACATAGAAAAGAAGTTGAAGAAAAGGTTTTGCTTCTAGTGAAGCAATGGTGGGAGGTCCAATGAGCAAGTGACATCACATTAGCTGGTGTGCACCTCACCTCTCTTCTCTGGTTGGCTGTTATGGTTTTCAGGCTTCTTCCCTTACTCATTCCTGGCTACATCTTTCACCACACAGGTGGTCTCACTACTTGCTCTAACCAGCAACTTTGGCAGCTTTGAAAATGATTTTTTTGTTTCTGTTTATTTAGCCCTGTTTGATGTGTTCTGGTTGAGCAAATGTCCTCAGTGTTAGTATTTAGCTAAAGCTCACTGGGCACTTAATATAATTTTATAAGTGTTCATGATCATCCATTAATGATCCAATTAGGGCACAACCGACAAGCCAACTGGAATCTGGCAACAAACATTGTGATTAAGGTATCTGCTGATTTCAGTGGGTAATCCAATCTTTTTAACAGGTTGTATTTCTGGCCTAACAAGAGTCAGGTCAGGAGTAAGGAGGTAACTCTCTGGTGTGTGCTGAACCAGTATTACAGGAAATTCTGTCATACAAATGGTTTGGGAAACTCACTTGAGATTTCAAGTCTACATTATAAAAAAAATTATTTCAAGGGGATGTTAAATATTTTTCATTGTTCCATACAAGAAATTAGAGGAACCAGTCAAGGAGTCTTTTAGTCAGATATTGGATTTGATAATTCCATGTCAGCTATTAGGCCTCCCAAGTTCTGGATCTAAGCCCTCCATACATGTGCTTAGTGGGACTTCCATATGGAAGATATAGTACAGTAGTTCCAACATCTTGAGCCCAGGTCTTGTAAGAGGGATTTTCAAACTTAACCCCTTGTGTTTGGGTTCCCCTCTAAGCTGAATAAAATCGCCTGGCATTTGGTTTGGTTCTTCTTGATCTGACCTCAGTACCTGTGCCTGCTGGCAGTCCAGGTATCCCTGATTTGGCAGATGTTCCTGATCGTGATTGACAGGTGATGAGGAGGCCAGTTTAGACTATTTCAAGTCACAAGGTCCCTGTAGGTGAAAGCCTTCTGTTTGGTCTTGGGATCCAAGGGGACATTTCTCTATACTCACTAGATCAACTATGAGGAGGAAAGTTTTTATTTATATAAATTTCCTTCTTTCTCTGATCTAGGTAAGGGGTTTTGGAGCTGCTGGCCTTGAGGTGGGGCTCTTGTTGGGATGTAATGTCACAATCACAGCTGTACACTTAGTATCTCATACTTCCATTTATAGCTGGCTTCAGTAAATGAGTCACAGGAAATTTGCTGGGAATGAACTGGGTTTCATGAGTGAAAACCATCACTGCCACACCTAGAATGGTGAAGAGTGAACCAGCTGATGTGATGACAAAAGCTCATTTGAACTCCTCCCTCCAGTTTACTATAAAGTAAACCTTCACTTCTATTCTCACTTCCAGAGTAGTGCTTGCAGTTGGGGAGTGTACACTAATTGTAAGATTAAATCTGGCCACTTTTGTCAGGTCTCCTAGGTCTTGACCGATGGCTTTAGAGGGCCCATTACGCATGCTGCATAGTTTTCCTTAAAATAGGATCTCAGGGTCAACTTTTATTTTTTTTAGTCTTAACACTGTACAGTAGTAAACTGTATATAACTAGTGAGAAAATATGTAATATCATACTGTCATTAATGTAACCCAAACACAGTATTGTGTTATAAGTATAAAGCTTCAGAAAAAAGGGTTATGACCAAGCAATTTCTGATATTGTTAGTGGAGAACTGCTCCAGCTTCAGCTACAAAGCAACAGATACACATCCTCCTCTATACATTATGACCCCCGGCACATATCAAGAGTACTACACTCTTCTCACGTCACCATCACTTCATTGTTCCATCTTTATTAATCACTCGAGTTCCTTCTACATAAGACGCTTTCTAATGATTTTCTTATTCCTCTCTCTTTCCACTTAACTTCAAAATCATTTCTCAGAAAATACAGTAAATCTCAGCAGTACAATTTATATTCTGCTGCTACACCATCCATTTGGTAAACCTCACTGTGCTTGAAGACTAACTTTTTTTTGCCACAAATCTGAAATGCCTGGATATTTGCCTTTCTCACAATTTTTTATGGTACTCTGCCGAGTAATCCTATTAATTTTCCTGGCTAAAAATTTTACTCAAATATTCAAAACTTGTATCCTCTCCATTTCCTATGTAACCTACAACTTCCCCATCTGAACTTCAAATCACACATTTAATGTAACATTAAAGCTTTTCTTTTCTATAATTCAATTTGTGTTGGCAGTTTTCATTCCAATTATGTTTATAAGGAGGAGGATTATGGATATGATGGCATACAATACTTGGCTACTGTACTCAGCCAACAGCCAACATCCCAGTGGTAATCCCAAGTTTGAAGTCCTCTGAGGAGATGATGTACAGTACCAACATGAGCCCTAAGGTTGTACCTGTGGTATGACAACAAACAATGAAACTTGTCATATATGTCTACACATTAAAAGGGATACACATTATACAGTACCTATCTGCAATCACAGGCAACTTCAGGTTCAGGTTCTTAACCTGTAAATGCCCTCGGAGGGGCAACTCACAGGAAGGTGACATGTTAATGTCTATAGTGGCAGCTATACAATTCTTAAGAAAAATGTAGATCTGTGTGTGATGAAATTGTGTGTGATTATAATTACAGTATATAGAAGCGTGTTCATGTTTAAGTGCATGAATTATTGTCCAAGTTTGTGACTATGTTTAGAGTTCCTGTGGTGGAATCTTGGGCAAACTGTTTTGATCAGTTTACTTCTGTTGAGTTAACACTGATTGAGAATTTGGATTTAAAGCAACTAGAACACTGAATTCTGAAGATAATGTTTACTTAGTGTTGCTGATTGGTAGCCAAGTTTTCCTGACCTATTCAGTGACACTGGGAAACACATCAATCACAAGGAGTGTACTGTACATGGTGTTGGCAACAGCTATTTGTATCTTCTATGCTGTAACTGGGAACCTCTGAATTTTGGCAAATTTCTTCAGTAGTTTGTATTATACGAAGTTGGAGAGCTGAACCTCCAGGCCTTTGTAAAAGTTCTGTGCTGCTATATAAACTAGGTAATAATGTACAGGTGTACATTACTGGCCCCTCCAAGTTTAGACACAATAATCTACTTTAAACTCCTGAGAAGACATGTTTCATTGACATGAACTTCATGAAACTAGTGAAGAGACATGTGGTATACAAGGAGTGTAATAGTCCAGTGACTCACTATATTACCCTGAGAATTATGTTTGTTTTTATGAATTTATGCATTTTCCTGTCATGATAAAAGGTAACCAGTCAAAGACAGACCATCTAATTCTTACATTTAGGAACTCCTTTAACAAATGGTTGTTCCATTATAATCAAGAGCCCCTGATGATGAAGTCATTTTATTGCCAAGTGTGCAGCACAATGTTGGTGCCAAATGAGGGGAACTAGGTGCAACAAATATTATCTAAAAGCTTGGGGATCTTTTGTGGACTAAGCCTG